CCTCTTAGCACCACTGGCATTGTGTCCCATAAGTTTGGGTATGTTGTGCACTCATTTTTATTGAAGTCTAAGGAAGTCCTTAACTTCTTTATTTATTTCTTCCTTGACCCAGTGGTAATTCAGTTGAAAGGTTTTCAGTTTCTATGAGTTTGTAGGCTTTCAATAGTTTGTGTTGTTGTGGAGCTCCAACTTTGATCCATGGTGATCTAATAAGATACAGGAGATTATTCCAATTTTTTGTATCTGTTAAGACTTGTTTTGTGATGGAGAGTGTGGCCAATTTTGGAGAAAGTTCCATGAGGTGCTGAGAAGAAGGTATATTCTTTGGTGTTTTGGTAAAACGTTCTATAGACAGGTCCATTTGAGTCATAACATCTGATAGTTCCATTATTTCTGTTTAGTTTCTGTTTGGGCAACCTGTTCATTGGTGAGAGTGGGGTGTTGACATCTTCCACTGTTAATATGTGGGGTTAAATATGTGATTTAAGCTTTAGTAATTTTTTTTTTTTACAAATGTGGGTGCTCTTATATTTGAGACTTAGATGTTCAGAATTAAAACATCATCTTGGTGGATTTTTCCTTTGGTGAATATGAAATCTTCTCCATCTCTTGATTAATCTTGGTTTGTAGTCTACTTTGTTAATTATTAGAATAGCTACACCAACTTGCTTCTTTGATCTGTTTTATTTGAAAATCTTTTTCCAACCCTTTACTCTGAGATAATGTCTGTCTTTGACATCTGTCTTTGACATTGAGGTATGCTTCTTGTATGCAGCAGAAGGATGCATCCATTCTGTCAGCCTGTGTCTTTCTATTGGCACATTGAATCCATTAATATTGAGAGATATTAATGGCTGGTGATTGTTTATTCCTGTTATTTGTTGTAGGTAGTGGTGGTGGTAGTGATAGTGGTGGTGGTGGTGGTGGTGGTGGTGTGTGTGTGTGTGTGTGTGTGTGTGTGTGTGTGTTTTCCTCTGGCATGGGATTATCTATTGCCTGCATTTTCATAGGTATAGCTAACTTCTTTGGGTTGGAATTTTCCTTCTAGTACCTTCTGTAAAGCTGGATTTATGGCTAGATATTACTTAAATTTGACTTTGTCATGAAATATCTTGTTTTCTCCATCTATGGTGATTGAAAATTTTGCTGGGTATAGTAGTCTGAGCTGAAATCCATGGGCTCTTAGAGTCTGCAAGAGGTCTGTCCAGGCTTTTCTGGTTTATAGAGTCTCCATTGAGAAATTAGGTATAATTCTGATAGGTCTGCCTTTATATGTTAATTGGCATTTCTCTTTTGCAGCTTTTAATATTCTTTCCTTATTCTGTATGTTTAGTGTTTTGATTATTATGTGATGAGGGGAGTTTTCTTTTTTTCTGGCCCAGTCTATTTGGTACTCTGTAAGTTCCCTGTACCTTTATAGGCATGTCCTTCTTTAGGTTGGGAATTTTTTCTTCTATGACTTTGTTGAATGTATTTTCCGGGACTTTGAGCAGCGATTCTTATCTTTCTTCTATTCCTATTATTCTTAGGTTTGGTCTTTTCATAGTATCCCAGATTTCCTGGATGTTTTGTATTAGGAATTTTTCAGATTTAACATTTTCTTTGACTGATGAATCTATTTCATCTATCATATCTCCAGCACCTGAGACTCTTTCTTCCATTTCTTGTATTCCTGTTGGTGATGCCTGCATCTATAGTTCCTGTTCACTTACTTATGTTTTTCATTTCCAGAAGTCCCTTAGTTTCTGTTTTCTTTATTGCTTCTATTTCCATGTATTTAGTTCTTGAACAGTTTTATTTGTTTCTGTCAAGTGTTTTTTTTGTTTTTTTTTTTTGGTTTTATTGACATTCCTTAAGAGATTTATTGATTTCCTACAATTTTTTGGTTATCTTTGCCTACATTTCTTTAAGGAATTTATTAATTCCTCTTTAAGGACCTCTATTATCTTCATAAAGTTATTTTTAAGGTCATTTCCTCGTGCTTCAGCTGTGTTGGAATGTTTAGGTCTTGCTGGAATAGGCTAGCTGGGCTCTGGTGGTGACATATTGCCCTTTCTGTTATTATGTTCTTACTCTTTCATTTAGGCATCTCGATTTGAGTGATTATAGTTCTAGGTGTTGATTCCTGTGTTTGTCTTTGTTTAATGGTTGTTTTGTTCTTTGGTTTCTGTTTCTTTTCTTGTCTTCTAGACCTAATTGGAGAAAAGTTCTGGTTACCAGCTAGTCTTCAGGTCCAGCAGGGTATCTCTGCTCAAATTTGGGGGGGCTTAGGTCCTTTGATCTGGTCTAGCCTCCAGTAAAGCCTGAGTCTGCTTCTGGGGTATCTAGGGCCATCCTGGCCTCTAGTAGAGCTGCTGGGCTGTTGTTTCGACTAGTGTGAACTGTACTTGGGCCTATGACATCTGTTCTTCCAACTGGTGTGGACTGTGTTTGAGCCTATGGAGTCTGCTGGAGTTCAGGGGAAGGGCTACTTATTGACTGGCGAGGGGCTCCTCAGTGGTGGGAGTCCACCGGGGTTGTGGGCAGGGCCCAGCAGTAGCAGAGCCAGGGACTAGCTGGGATGGTGTTAGCCTGATGAAGGGCCATGGTAGACAGCATCCAGGGGCGGGTACAGTTCTGCTGGTTGGCAGGTCACTCACCCAGTGTGACTTGTGTTGCCTGGGCCTGCTTGTCAAAAGTCTTCTGGGGTTGGGAAGAGGGCCCAGCCATAGGAGGGATAAGAACTAGCTAGGAAGACATGGGCTTGGGGAGAGGTGCAGTCCCACTAGTAGGCAGGTCACTTACCCACTCTGGCTGGTGTGTTGTGTGCCTCAGTGGCAGAAGTCCACTGGTGTTGGGGTTGGGGGCCCTGCAGCAGCAGGGCCAGGGACAAGCTAAAATGACATTCTTAAGTGAAAGGTCTCTAGAATCTTCTGGCGATGCAGGTGTGGTATATAAAATACAAGGTCTTTCTCAGAAGCTATTCACGACCCAACTTTTCCACAGAATGACTTTTTTTCAATCATTGATCCATAATACTGATCAATGATGTTCATATTTACAAATAATGCACATTTGCAATAGCAACTGGCTTCAGACATGGCTGTTAAAATTTACAGATTTTATTCCATTCTTTTCATTGTTCCCAGGTGTGCAGTATCAATCCTGTTGAGATCAGATGCTGTTGGTCTATCTATACATTACTGTATCACACACACTGAGTATACCTTGCCCCCTCTCCTACCGTTAGTGACAGCCTCCTCCTCCCATTGCAGTGAAGGTCTTCCTGCAAAGGCTCTCCCAGCTGCCTTTCCACAGGCCCCCCACAGGCTGCCTCTTGTCAAACTTACTTCCAGTTATCTCTAGAGTGTAAATAGTTACCCACATCTAAACATTAACACTGTTTGGCTATTCCAAATCTAGGCAAATGACTATCCATAAAGCTTTCCATTTTCTGCCCCACAATCCTTGGTGTAATTACTACTGTCGAATTCTCTTGTGTGATGGCTAATGTGTACTTGCCTATAGAGTTAAGAGCAGAAATGGTACTTGATCCTAATTCCAATTCAAATATGTAATTCAATCATTTACTGGTGTCTAGGGGATTTTTTTCAGGACCTATGGCTGCTGACCTCCCATAGGATGAAGTCCCTTATATAAAAAGGCACAGTGCTGGAATTAGAATCTCAGAATGTTCTCTCATATAAACAACCCCTGATTACTTACAGCACCAAATATAACATAAATCCTATATAAGTAGTTGCTATACTGTATTTTTAGAGAATAATGGCAAACAATTTGGTGCACATCTAGTAAGATGTAATATTCTCCTCAGTTTTGGTCCATGGTTTGGTGACAGGGTAAGAAGCCCATACAGACAGACAGGCTACTCTAGATGATGGGTTGTAGACATTTATGAATCCAACAACATTCATTTTACTCAAATGTGATTAGATCCTATCTATCCTCAAATGAACAGGTTGTGAGCCCCAAGGAAAAAAAAATCAGTAGCCTGGTCAAATAGCCAGGTGGTCCTTAAGGCATAGCAGTGAATGTTACTGGTATTTGCTGTATCCTTACAGGAGATGCCATGTAACCCTGAATAATCTGGGGACAGGTGGTACTGAAGAAATACCCCACTTCCTCCCTCTGATAGGGCAATTTTGCGCATTTTCTTGCATAGTTTATCAGAGGGACTCTAAATGAAAGGAGCTCAGAGGCATAGCACTAGTCCTTAAAAGCATGCATTGGTTGTGCTCCCTTACCTGCTTTACTCCCAAACACCTCAAAACACCAATTGTGTAACACTATTCCAGGGGAGATGAAAACAAATGTCTATTCACTCCAGATAGAGAACCTACCACGGACCAAAGCATAGATCCCACCGAAGTCCAACTTGGTGAACCACTGAGTTTTATTGGGCATATTTCTAGGAATATGAGTGAGGGATTACTTAGAGGAACAGAAATAACCCAGATAGTGGCATCACCAAAGCCTACCCCAGAATGACTGACAGCTCACGAAAGCTGGGCATCTGAAGTGAGCTGCATAATGTGAAGGTTGGAGAGTGTTTTTTCTATGTAGCTGGGTTGGTCTGAGCCTCTTCCAGTCAGCTCAGCTGCTCTCTGCTTCTTCCAGGCAGCTTCTCGCAGCAGCCCTCACAGCTTATATATGGATCCTGTCAGTTTGAGGGATTTCCCTAGCTATTTTGAGTTGCTTACTTCCCGAGTTTATGGGGCTTCCCTGTAGGGTAGAATGTTTCCCTCCACTTAGAATAGTCTGTTGTTTCACCTTCCTGTAAACCTACTGTGTCTTAATGAGCTTTCTAAGAAGGAAGGTTTTAGTCTCAGGGGAAAATGATATTCAATACTCTTGAAATAAACTTCCTACTAATTTGCTTGCATCTAAGTCCTTGTCTCAAGGATCCTTTGACCTGCTTTTCGGAGTACCAAAGTGTGGCAGGCGACTTCCAAGATGGCTAGTAAAGAGCTCTCCTTCTTGGTTCTCTTCCCTTTCAACAGAAGCTTGGCTTGGTGACTGTCTTCTAATGAACAGAACGTGGACGGAGTGAAGATATGCCACCTCTAAGGCAAGACTATAAAAAACTTTATGGACCAGTGGATTTGGCCCTGGATGTGCTTTATCATTCTCTTCTAATGGCTCACACCAGGAGGAGCCAGCTGTCATGGTGTGAGGCAGCCTGTTGTAAGCTCAAGAAAGTGAGTCTTCTGAGGTTGGGATAGGGGAACTCCTTCCCATTTGAACCTTGAGGAAACAGCACCAGCTGGCGGCTTGAGAGTCCTCATCAGCTAAGCTACTTCTAGACGTCCAATGCACAGTAACTACAAGATAAGAAATCGCTGCTGATTTCATTGCTACGTCACTGTTATATACCAATGGATACTGAGTAGACATGAGAAGCTTGTGGGAGTAGGTACTATTGGGGGTTCAGTGGAAAACTCTCTGGACTTTGGGCAAGGTGAACTTCTCATGGTTTCCCATCCAGGATCCCTTGTAAGCCTTCCCTAACACTCAATACTGTTGCATTCTCCTCTTTAAAATTTAGTTTACTAGGCAGCCTATGAGCTTCATGAGACCTGCTTCCTCCTTTCACTTTTTGTCCCTAATGACATGTCAGTGCATGTGGTGTGCATATGTGTGTGTTTGCATTCCTGTTCACATGGGTATGGGCCTATATGTGTGTGCAGATGCCTGAGTCTGATGTCAGGAATCAACACTGGTCTCTAGTCCCATTATTCATTAAGGCTGAAGCTCTGGATCAAACTCAGAGCTCACTCACAGATTGGGGTTGCCAGTCTGGGGCTCCCCATCTCTGCTTTCTGAGGCTGGGTTACAGGCAGATTGCCACCCATATATTCAACATTTAAATTTATTCTGAGGGCCCACACTCTGCCTGGAAAGTATTTTAAGCATTTAACCATCTCCCCATCTCCTGATTATAAGACATTTGTACCGAATAAATAAAGACCTAGGTAAAATTGGTTTTGTGTGTAATTAGTAGGCATTGAACCATTTGTTTAACTAATAAAATGTCTGGGGATGACTCCTTATGTCTAGCTGGATTTTGGAGCTCAGATGGTGTTATCAAAATTCTGCTCCCTCCACCAACCCATTTTTTCTCTCATATTTCCCCTACCTCTTCCTTCTATTCTTTTCTCCATACATGGATCTGCTTTACTTTCTATGATCTATTTGTGAGCAGCTACTCCCAGAAAAATAGCTACTGGCACCCTCAGCCTGAAATACTCACAGCTGATCAAAGCCAAAAGCATTTCAGAAGTTCAGAAAAATAATCTACCAGATACCTTTCGATTCTGGATTAACCTGCGAAGCAAAGTTGTCTATGGAACAGTCACCACGGCTGACAAGAATGTAATAGACAATGAGTGAAGGTCAGGTCCTCTGTACATCTCTAAAGCATAAAGAATGGGTAACTTTTCTGTGACAAAACTGTTCCCAGGGGAATGCAGAACACATGTCTATTCACCAAGGTATAGATACCACCAAAGTCCTACTTGGTGAACCAATGGGTTGTATTGGGGTTACTTACAGGAATATGGGTGAGGGCTTACTTACAGGAGCAGAAATAACTCAAAGACAGCTACATCACCAAAGCCCACCCCACATGGGTGGCAGCTCACAAAAACGGAACTCGGAGCACAGGGCACAGCCTGCAGGCAGCTCAACAGGTTGAAGGGTGGCCTTTCCAGGTGTGTCCATTAGTCTGAGCCTCTTCCAGGCCTCTGGATGGGTTATGCTTCTCCCGGGCAGCTGGTAGGGTCTCTGATTTTTCTTTGCAGCTCATCTCTTACCATTTTCTTTGCAGCCCAGCTTCTTTGGACCTAGGGTAACTCGCAGCTTTTATTACTTACTCTGGCAGGGAGAGCCCTAGAGAGTCTGGTCAGTTTCAGAGACTTCCTGAAGCTATTTTGAGTTGTTTACCTTCCTGCTTAAGGGGCTTCCTTGCCAATGGAATGTTTCAGTTTCAGAGAAAACTGTTACACAACAATGGCCCGCCCAGATGATTTGACCTGAGTGGGAGACACTTCAGGAGAGGTTCAAGAGAGTTGTGGGCAAAATGGCAGATTAGACCTAGCTTTTATGTTAAAACAGAAAAGGAGAAAAGCTAGAATAAGAAAGAAAAAAAAAATAGACTCTATTCCAAAGAGAGGGAATGCTTTGGCAACCTTCTGGTAGTGATAAGGAACAGGAAGTTCAGGGGAGAGGACAGCTTGTGCGCAGAGAGGAAGCCAAACTGTACACAGCTTCGGCTTGCAGCTCCCTAGTGTGTGTGTGTGTGTGGGGGGGGCAAAACCTTCCCAAAGGGTAATTAAAGGCCCCGGTGAGGAAAGAATGGCAGGCTCACCCTCAGGACAAGCCCACACACCTCACGAGCCTCCAACCCATCTTGGTGAGTGGGGATTCTCTGGTGATGGGTCAGAGGCGGCAGGAACCTCCTGTTCTGTCATTTTGAATACCCAGGGCAGTGGCTGGATGCTAATTTGAGACAGAATTTATCACTTAAACCTAAGTTGCCTGTCTGCCTGAGGCAGAGAACAGCTATAAGACAGCGTATAAATTGAATCTCCCATAGTAGCAGAACAAGAGGCAGCCCTGGGAGGAGGTTGAGGAAAGTGAGGGGGCTAATGAAGCCCAAAAATGCAGGTGACAGGAGGCTTGGCCTGGGCAATGATGTGCATAGGGAAAGCAGCTCTATTCTCAGTTGTCAGGGGCCGATCTTGTCAGTTGAGAATGACCCTGGTGTTTGACAGCTGTGACCCTGAGGCCTGCAGGTTGATCAACCCTGGGGGCCAGCTATCTGCCCTACCTTGTTGTACACCCCCAAACTCTGAATGTCTAGTCATTTAGTTAATACCACACTTGCCTTCTTTCAACAAAGTGAAGAATATTTAGGAGGTCTTGAAAGTATGAAGACAGGTCCTCTGCCTGGGCAGATTTCAGCTCACTTGAGAAATACCTGATAGAATTCCTAGCCACTCCCCCACGATCGTGCACTCACTGGCAAGATGCTTAGTCATTCCAGGGGCCTATGTAATCTGTGCATTGTGTGGTCACGTAATTTGCGCACAGCATGATCACATAATCTATGTGCATGTGTGGAGTAGCTACATAAGCCCATATGTGCATGTGCGCGGAGGGGAGAAACCATAAAGTAGCCCCACATCTCCCCTCCTCCTACACAGTCATTCCCATAGGCCTAAGCACTTTTGTTCCCCTTCCCCTAATAAACTCTTATAGTGGATTTTGTTGTGCCTTGTGGCTTTTCTCAAATGGTAAACAGCTCCACATAATACAGCATCGCTAATAAATAACAATACCCCAAGAAAGAATATTAGTCTCTCAAGGTAGTGCTTGGTGGGTAGCATCAGGAGGGAAAGAGAATCAGCTTAGACTGCAGACCTAAGAGCTAAGTGTGGCCAGCAGATGCCCTTGGCACACAAAGACGGGAAGTTATTGAAGCGAAGACAGCTCCGGTGGACAAGGACTCTTGTCCTACACAGCTTTCCAGCACCGGCATGGGCTACAGGAACATGAAAAGCCAAAAAGTTCAACCTGCATCATCCATGTATACAACTGAAATTCTCTACTTTGGGAGGAACCAGAACTAAGATGCTCTAGGGGCTGAAAAGATAGCTGAGCAGTGTGTTCTGCTCTGCTAGAGGACCAGAGTTGGGTTCCCAACAGTCTTTCTCTCTCTCTTTGTCTCTCTGTGTCACACACACTTACAACTAAAGAAAAAGTCACCTGTCTTCTTTCTTTTGTTCCCTGTACTCTTCTCTTCCTTTCTGAAATGACATGTTAGCAGCGTATTTACTATGTAGTTGTACACACACACACACACACACACACACACACACATACACACACACACCTTGTTCTTCAGTGCTGAGAACCAAACCTAGGGGACCTGAGCACTTGGACCCTTGAGGCAGGATTGGATTTGATGTTCATTATCATCATTTTGTTCATGCATTTCCCCTTACTCTTCAGCAAAATTTCTACTTTTATTTCTTTTTTTTTTCTTTTCTGCACCTGGGCTTTTCCATTGTCCCCTTTTTATTATACTTCCAGTAGTGTTTTGACCTTATCTTGAGTTTTAATTTTGTTCTTTTTTTAAATACTCATGCTTTTATTTTTCAGTTCCCTTCTTGCAATGACCTGATTTTGTTTTTAAACTTTCTCATTAATTCAGATTTTTCTTTTTCTTTTTACAAACATCTTTTGTGTTGTTCTACTCTTTTCTCTCCCCAACAATACCGTTCTCCACTTTTTCTTTTCATTGATTTCACTTTGATTCTACTGCAGTTTGCCATTTTCTGCCTCCTTATGTTAGCTCATTCATTTATGAGCTTCCCATTTCCCTTAAGTAATTTTTAATGTCAGAGAACATTCTGTATTGATTTTATCATTTTCTGGTTTTCAGTCATTGCTTGACATGTTCGTGTGTCTTAGTAAACTTTAAGGACATTTTTATGCCTTGTGCTTTGTGACATTGTCCTTATAACAGAGTATTTTCTTCTGAGTGATGATGAGGAAGGTTCCCCAAATAAAAGTAGAAGAGATTTCCAAACCAACAGATGCACAAATCACATCACAGAAACACAAGATATGTGAGAACACAAGGCAACATGATTCTTTGACTACTGAGTTCAAAGATAATAAAATAGGTAAAATGCTGGTTAACATTTATTAAAAAATGAATAGTGTAATCAAAGAGAATATTAACAAGCACCCACTCACTCTAGGACCTGGAGAGGAAAGTTGGAAATGGAAAAAATGGAAAAAATGGAAGTCAGCAAAATGTACAAGAAAATCAGCAATATGTGTGAAAAAAATCAGCAACATGGAAGAAAACATCAACAAGGAAATTAAGATTTGGTAAAACGTTAAAAATCAGTGGATCAAATAAAACAGTGAAAAACATCACCAACAACTCACTAATAATGGAATGTAGTTTGGCTGCTAAGATAAAAATGTTAGATACAATTATCATTTGTCTCCAAGAAATATACCTTCTAGTAAAGACATCTACAGACTGAGATTCCAAGAATGGGAGTCAATCTGTCAAGAAAGTTAAAGCTGAATCAAAACTGAACAAGCTGGCATAGCTATTTTGACATCTGATAAAGTAGACTTTAAACCAAAATTAGCCAGAAAAGAAAAGAATGCCACTACATAATATAAAGGAAATAGTTTGCCAGGAAGATTGAACTATTGTGAATATATATGCACTGAGGGCTGGACTCCTGATTTCAGGGTGGCTGCTCATACTTCATAGAACCTGATCAAGAAAATCCCTTACAGCTGTACCCAGCAGCTTATTTTTCAGTTGAGTCCAGATCAAATCAAGGTAAAAAAAACCAAGATAAGCCATCACAAGCCTGTTCCTTGTCAGCCTGACAGAAAATCACTACCTGAGAGAAAAATCTCATCTCTGTATCCCATTTGACTTTAAAAACAATGAAGTTGTAACACCACTTAATATGATATGATTGTGCATAGACAACCCAACCATGCTACCATAGTACCTCCCTAATAGTGGCAAAGTCCCTTGAAGAATGCTTAGATTTTTATTGTCTATAACTACAATATAAATATATATATATATATATATATATATATATATATATATATAAATATATAACCTAAAAAATGTTCTCAAATCAATGCACATGATATGATAAAAAGGAAAGAAACCACAGATATCTGCCTAATACCTATGAATATAGGCACAAACATATTCTTAGCAAAATAAGACAGAAGCACTCATTGCAGTTACAATCTTCATAACTGGCCATATGTCTTTGTCCGCTATTTATAGCTACCTTGTATTAATACACTTTCTGTATTTCCTTCACTCTCAGCAAGGATCTCAGCAGGTCTTGATTCTTTACCTGGAGAGGTTACCCATATCTTCATTCCTGAAGTATTTGGACTGTTTATATCATTCTGCCTAGATT